CGCCCGCTCCGCCCGCCACGCTCAGTGATCAGCCTCGCGCCCTGCAGTCGGACTGCATTGCGGCGCGGGGCGTCATGCATGACTCCATGGCCGGCCACTCGCACGCTCGTCGGTGCGAACTTCTAGTTTCATCCGATGATCTTGTGGAGTTCTTCGAGGATGGCGTCAAGCTCCTCGTCGCTGGTGCACTTCCCATGACCCATGGTGAGCTTGCTGTGGATCAGCTTGTCGCCAGCCTTCACCTCGAAGGCGCCCGTCCCACAGGCATCCGGGAGTTCGGTGATCTCCACCTTGTTCTCGAACTCCTGCTCGAGAAAGGCTTTGAGCGCGGCTGCAGGCCTGCGGCAAGGGAGGAGAGCCATCGGCGGGAGAGGGAGAGTCGGCGCGCGGCAGCGGGCGCGGACGGACTTCTTGAACGAGCCTCATCCGCCGCAGTACTGGATCGAGATGGGCAGCATGTGAGCAGCAAAGAGCAAGCAAGAGGACGCCTGCGCTCTGAAAAGAAATAAGTCGACTTCGAGCTGGGAATAGGACCGAGCGGTTGTGCATCCCTCCGGGGGCCCCTCTGCGCCGGGGAGGCGTTGTTGGAGGCTAGGACGCAAGCGTCCGTCGCCCTTTTTCAAACTCGGGGCCCATTCCGCTACGTACGCTAGGCCTAGGCGCTAGGGTGCCCACAGGGAGGACCCAATCCCAAAAGAAAATAGCTTTCCGACTCAAAAAGGGACGCACGAAAGGCAAATCGATGTTGGAGTGTTCCAATAGGAGAGAGGCCTCTTCCGTTGGGGGACCGAGTGAATAGGAAACGATAGCACTGGTGATGTTCCGAGCCTTCGTACGGACCGTCGGTTTTCGCCGCTGCAGGTTGCGCCGCTCGCGGCTCGGTTCCTCCCGCTCCCTTTAGCCGTCGCAGCGCGATATCGGGGTACTTTTAAAGAGGCCTATACTCCGGCGTGTCCCAGTGCGTGCCGTCCTGGGGGGGCGAAGCGAGCGCAGGCCCTTCGGCTTTTTTCCATGAACCCCCCCCCGCCCCCTGGTGCTTGGTGTTTCGGGGGCGGGGCCCCATAATGGGGGCCCCCCCCCCCCCCCCGCGTCGCGCGTGGGGCGGACTGCTTCTACGTTCTACTTCTAGAGAAAAATGTGTTAAGAAGTCACTCTGTTCTCTGTGTGCTCTGAGTCTGCGAACTAGCGCACATCGCGAGAAGTTTTTTTGCGCCGAAGTGTTTGCGCGAATCGAAAGGCCGCTACGAAGAAAATGTACATG